TTGTTGAAGTCAGGAGCCCGCCTGGAGAATGGAGGTGTTAAAATTTTAAGTTGAAGAAGTCAGGAGCCCACCTGGAGAATGGAGGTGCTAAAATTTTAAATTGTTGAAGTCAGGAGCCCGCCTGGAGAAAGGAGGTGTTAAAGTTTTAAGAAGTTATTGAAGTCAGGAGTCCTCCTGGAGAATGGAGGTGTTAAAATTGTAAGTTGTTGAAGTCAGGAGCCCGCCTGGAGAATGGAGGTGTTAAAGTTTTAAGAAGTTATTGAAGTCAGGAGCCCACCTGGAGAATGGAGGTGCTAAAATTTTAAATTGTTGAAGTCAGGAGCCCACCTGGAGAATGGAGGTGTTAAAATTTTAAGTTGAAGAAGTCAGGACCCCGCCTGGGGATTGGAGGTTGTGTCATCTTTCAAAAGTCAAGATGAAGTCAGGAGCATCCCCGCCCGCAGAACAGAGGAATACATTTCAAGAACAAATCAGAAGTCAGTAATGAGGAGGGCCATTAATGTAGGAAGCAGCGTCCCCAGCAGTTTTCGAAAGAAAAGCACTAGAGGAAGCACAAGCCACAAGAAAGCAAGGCAACCAGAGCAAGTGGAAGATAGATAAGATTCTGTGATTCCCAGTTTAGTCTAGCTTCTTGTTTTCTTTTGGCACGGTGTAATAAGGAGATCGAAAAGTAATAGCAACAGCATGCAGCAGCAGTAACGGCAAAATTGTAGTTCCATGGTAGTCCCAGCTACCACAACTTCCCGAACTACATTAACCTGATTCCCTTCTAGCCAGGGATATGTAGGAAACCTTTGAAGCAAAGGTTCGGTTAAATCTTTTTCAAAAAATGCTTCACACGGAGTACTCGGATGGGCAAAAATCGTTCACTTGATCTTTGCACGAAAACTCTTCGTGTTTACGGACAAAGAGGGGCAGCTGTGAGCACGTGATTTTTGCTTCCCGAAAACTACTCCAAAAGAAATCAAAAATAAGACAAATTTCATCTGTGTACAATTTTGAGAATTTACGTGACATTTTGGTAATTATTTTTGTCCGTAAATGTTTACCCTTATTGTGATTAATTCAAAAATACAAAAATACATGTTGCACGCACATTCAAGATCTAATTGTGTATTTTGGAATTAATTAAACCATGTTTTATTTTAAAAGAAAGAAAACCACAAAAGATATGTATTTGTTGCATTTCGTCATTTATGTGTGTCGTTGTGTAATTTTATTTTTAATTAAATATTTGGCCTTATGTGTTAATTGTTGTTAAGGTTTAATTAACATTTTTGTAGGCTAATTTTGGTTGTACAAATTATTTTGGAATTTTATTGATGGTTAATTAAAAGTAGAAAAAGAAAAAGAGTTGAAAAAATAAAATAAAGAACACACGGTTTGGGCCAAAAAATTAAAATGAAAGTAGGCCCAAACGAGTTGGCCCAATGTATTAAACCGGTCCGTCTCCTCATAGGTGCCCGAACGGCACCGTTTCTGTCATAGTTGAGCGGGGCCGTTGATCTCAAATGGATCAACGGCCAAGATCACATCTTTCATACCCGTTCCCTGTACCCGACCCATCACCCGGTTCGAACCGACCCCCCAACTAAAACCAAACGGCACCGTTCCCCTTAAGTGTATTTATCCGGGCCATAAATACTCCATCCTTTTCAAATTATGTTAACNCGTTCGACCTCAAAGAGGTCGAGTCCAGTTCGAGCATGGGTCATTTTTGTTCTTAAGCTTCCGAGGTAATTTCTCCTTTCTTTCCTTCTGTTTGTGTGCTATTTGTATTTGTTTACATGTTCGTTTAATTTGTTTGATTTTTCTATCATTTTTCTTTTAATTCTGTCCGTCTTCATAAGACATTTTATTTGGTCAATTCTTTTGTTTGTCTGTTAGTTGTACCTATCGTGATGGACTACGTGTTTAATCTGATTAATATCGTCAAGTGGTTCATATAGGTGCCCTGTTGAGTCTAAGTGTGTATCGATTAATTGTTATCCGTTACAGCGTGTAATCGAATGTTTAAATATCGTCGTTTAGTTTGATTAAAAGAAGGAGGAAGCACGACAATAGTTTATCTCGTTGACTCATTCCAGTGTTTGTCATTTCTGCTTCTTTTCTGTTCTTATGTGATTGAGCTGAAATTGTTGAATGTATCCAATTGCTTCTTTGAACCAAACTGGCTCGCTTATTTTAAGGCCACATGAACCTCATTCTCTCATCCCTTCTTCCTGGAATCATTTTGTGTGTTTGGATAGGATTGAATTGGTCATAGCTGTATAATCTGATAGTTAGTAATCAGTGATTAGTTGAACTTAGAGGGGTTATATACTGGCTATTAAGAGTTGGGGCATAACAGTAGTCTTCAGGGGGTTAAGGGTAATTTTGGCATTTGACAGGGTTTTATCAGAATTAACTTAAGGGTCTGTCAAATGGTTAATTAAAATACTATTAATTTAATGACAATGGGGAACAAGACATAAGAGCATGGGAGTTTAAAATGAATACTCTAATAAACCCATAACTCTTGATTAGAACAATAGGACAAGCATGGGGAACAATATAATGGGCATCAAGAAAAGACATTTAGGCATGGGAAGTTAAGGGGTATGGGCAGAGTTAAGGTCTGAAGGTATCAAGGCAGCCTGGTGCTTGCCTACTTTGCCTATAAATAGGCTCATTTAGAACAAAATAGGAGCTGGTTTTTTTATCCTAAGAAGCCAGAGAAAAACAAGAGTGTTGAAGATGGAGATTTAACCTAAAACTCTAGAGAAATAGAGGGCATATCGGATGTGCTATTATCTTGCTAAGTCAGTGAGCTGGTTGATCCGGATAAGGCTAAGCTTTACATCAAAAGAGCTTCAGCTTGTTTTTTTTCTTGAGTGTCTGACAAATCAGAAACTACTGTTTCTTGCATCTGTTTGTGTTCTTTTGGGTACTGTTGGATTTCAGCTTGGTATTTCCTAGTTTTCTATTGGTTGAGCACTGTTCCATTGGGTTACTGCTTGGTTTTCTGCCTGGTTTTCTTTAAATCTGCCACGGGGTGTCTATTACTAGTTACTACTGGTACTGGTTGTTGTTGTACTGCTGTGTTGCTGCTTACACTACTGCTGCTTCTACTGATTTTCCTCTACTTCTTTGCTTTCCAAATATCAGGTACACAATCGAATGGCTGAACTTTGTAATCTGAGAATTTGAAGCATGAATACAAAAGTGAATGGTTGAAGTCTTGAATTCTTTACAGTTGTCTACTTACTTGTATACACATCAGAACACTACTTTCATTAGAGTCATGTAGGTGTTTGTTTATATATAACTGGACATGCCTATTCTACAGTAGTTTAGTTGTAAAACTTCTGCCCCCATGTATGCTTTTAGTTAATAAAGACTAATGATGTAGTAGTAATGTTTTGTCGATTTCAGTCTATTTTGTTTAAAAGCATGTTCCAAATACACATCAGGTCGTAGGTTGATTACTTAATAGTTTATACTATTTCAGTTAACAAATTGCTTATCTAAATTCGTAAGAACGAGTTCAATTAGATACCATTGGTTAATTTCAGCACCTAATTGGTCTAGGATAAAAAAATCAGATTTTTTAGGCTCATTCATTCCAGTAGAATGTCACTTTAAATTGGCAGAAATTTGTTAACCAAATGACACCATTTTTTTAGTTTGGCAAATTATGAATATGTGTAGAAACCATTAACTAGGCCCAATTTGAAGTAGGATGGCCCAGGTCCGGTTTTACCCCTTATACGTCGGACGTGGGCCCATAACTGTCAAACAGACTGCCCTTACTACGTTCATTTTAGATTTAACGAATCATGTTCGAAACTTAACTATAATAACCCGTAAGTATGTAAATAAAGTAGGACCTTTTCTTCATTTATTTTAGAGACAAACGAAATAGAAAACATAGTCACTATAGGATGACCTTTAAAATAAAATGAGGTGCGCCTCGCCAAATAAATTACAAATCGCGGGGCCCTCAATAAACATATACAATAATTGGTTAGACTTCGAAGTTGGCCGTTTTAGTGAATTTTCACGGCCTCTTCCCAAAATAACAATACGTTAGTCTCTTTAGGACGCGCCTTAATTAATCTTACCTTCTTAAATACGGGTGTGCATTTATGTAACCCAAATCCAAATCCCAACGAAGTCGAAATGCGTCGACCAATCACGAGTGCATTGATTGTGACGTGGTTCGAAATGCATTTCCATGATGTTGCAATTCTTTAAAAAAAATAACAAATGAGACGAGTCTCGCCAAGCAAAAAATGCACAAGCTGCGGGGCCCTCTATACGTGTTTGTGAAGTTGCTTAGATTCTGGGACGGGCCATTTAGCAAAATTTTATGGCCTCGCCCAAAATAACACTATGTTAGTCGCGTAGGGCGCGTCCTTAATAAAATTATTTCCTTAAATACGGGTGTGCATTTATGTAACCCAAATCTAAATCTCAACGGAGTCGAGACATGTCGATAGCCTCGGGTACATTGATTGTGACGAGGTTCGAGGTATGTTTTTACGACGTTGCAATTTTTTTTGTAAAAATAACAACAATAATAATAGAAGAGGTAAAAGAATCATAATTTGCACTAAGTTCAATATGAATTAAAATCAGATAAACAAGCCGAATATGACAGTTGAGCGACCGTGTCAGAACCACGGAACTTGGGAATGCCTAACACCTTCTCCCGGGTTAACAGAATTCCTTATTCGGATTTCTGGTTCGCGGACTATAATACAGAGTCATTCTTTTCCTCGATTCGGGATTAAATTGGTGACTTGGGACACCCTAAATCTCCCAAATGGCGACTCTGAAATAAATAAACAGATCCCGTTTCGATTGTCCTTTAATTGGAAAAACTCCCTTCGTGCCCCTTTGAGGCGGTACAGGTGAAAAAGGAGGTGTGACACTTGTTATTCACTTTAAAAAGTATTCTGATGATTTATTAAATAAAGAACTCTAAGGTCTTGTTTATGTTAATATTAAATACGAACATGGACAATCTAGAGCATGATTGGATGTACAAAAGATTGGATAACCGAGGGGGTATTAATTCAAGATTCATAACTGGTGTGAACAAGTTTCTCCAATTTGCTTGTTCTCGGCGTAATCACATCAGTGGTGACAATGTTAGATGTCCATGTAAAAAATATCACAACATTAAATACATGGATGTTGAAACTGTTAAATTTCACCTTTATCAGTATGGATCTGTTGAGAACTATTTTCTTTGGAAGTATCAAGGAGAAAAAAATGTGACCGGTGAGATGTCTTCTAGTGGTGATTTCCATGGTGTCGCCCAACCTGGATCGGGATATGAGAATCCATATCGACAAATGGTCTTGGATGCAACTGCACTCAATTTTGGCCATGGTTTGAGCTGGCTGTCTTATAATAATACGAAACCCGAGTCGTCTCATTCTTATGAACCTTTAATGGAGGCGGAGCCTAATCCTTCAATGGAGGAGGAGCCTCATCCTTCAATGGAGGAGGAGCCAAATCTTGAGTGTCAAAGGTTTTATGATTTGCTACAGGCCGCGGATGTAAAATTATACCCTGGTTCTTCCATCTCTCAACTCGCAGTAGTTTCTAGGATGCTAAATATTAAAATGGAGAATACTTTATCACAAAGAGGTTATAACCAAATGATTCAATTGTTGAAAGAGGCTTTACCAGAAGATAACATAATGCTTAATAACTATTACGAGACCAAGAAGCTAGTGCGTAGCTTGGGTTTGCCAGTTGAAAAGATTGATTGTTGTAATTATGGATGTATATTGTATTGGGGTGAAGATAAGGACCTCATACCTTGCAAGTTTTGTGGCCACCAGAGGTATAAACGTCTTGTCGGTTCTCGTAAGAGGAAATTAATCCCTTACAAAAAAATGTATTATTTCCCTTTGATACCTAGATTGCGGAGATTATATGCATCTCATGCTACAGCCGCTGATATGAGATGGCATCATGAGCACATACAAGAGGAGGGCGTAATGTGTCATCCATCAGAATTTAAGGCTTGGAAGCACTTCAACGAAACTCATCCCTTTTTTGTTGCTAAACTAGGAAGTGTGAGGTGGGGATTATATACTGATGGTTTTCAGCCCTTGGTCATTCAGGGAGGAAATACTCTTCATGGCCAGTGATTGTCACTCCATACAATTTGCCTCCAGGTATGTGTATGAAAGAGGCGAACATGTTCTTAACTATCATTGTTCCAGGGCCAAACAACCTTAAACAAAAAATTGATGTTTATCTACAACCTTTAATAAAGGAATTGACCTTGTTGTGGGAGACGAGTGTGGAAGCATTTGACATTTCAAAAAAATAAAATTTTCAATTAAGGGCCGTTTTGATATGGACAATCAATGACTTTCCAGCATATTCTATGTTATTTGGATGGAGTACTGCCGATAACTTAGCATGTACTTATTGTATGGAGGAAGCACAATCCTTTAGATTATGTCATGGTGGGATGTTTGACAGTCATAGAATATTTCTTGACCAAAACTATCCTTTTAGGAGAGATCGTAAAGACTTCTATAAAAGGTCAGACTGTTAGAAGGCTACCACCACCCTTAGAACATGAGAGGAAATCTTGAACCAAATTTATGAGTTGGGACTGAGGAAAGTAACTGAGATAGAGTCATAAGAAGTTAATGGAAGAATTTCTAGGTGTTGTGGATGGAAAAAGAGAATCATCTTTTGGGATTTACCTTATTGGAGCTCTAACATGATCCGACATAATCTCGATGTCATGCATATTGAGAAGAATGTCTTTGATAATGTATTTAGCACAATTCTTATTGTTGATGGCAAAACAAAAGACAATCCAAAGGCACGTGAAGATATGGTAAACTATTATGATCGACCGCAATTGGCAAAGAATCCTATTGATGGAAGCTATCCCAAAGCTGCATATACAATAGAGAAGAATAAATTGCCTTTTCAATTGGTTGGAAAATGTGCAGTTTCCAGATGGGTATATTTCGAATTTGAGTCGATGCCTAGACACAGACAAGTATAAATTATTTGGTATGAAAAGTCATAATTGCCATGTGTTCATGCAACGATTAATGCCTATTGCCTTTCGTGAGCTATTTCCTAGCAACGTGTGGCAAGCACTTACGGAATTGAGTTTATTTTTTAAGGATCTCACCTCGATTGTTCTTCGAGTAGTGGACATGGAAAGATTAGAGGAAGACATCCCACAGATCTTGTGTAAGTTAGAGCGTATATTTCCTCCTGGATTCTTTAACTCAATGGAACATGTGCATGTACACCTGCCATATGAAGCAAGGATTGCTGGACCTGTATAATATAGATGGATATATCCTTTTGAGAGGTTATGAACTTTTTATGCTCCTATTATGACAATTACGCTACACATGACTTTATGAATTTAATGGTCTATCCATTTACTTGTATAGGTACCTTCAAACTCTTAAAAAATGATAGGAAATAAAGCTAGTGTCGAGGGTTCAATTTGTGAAGCATACTTGATGATGGAATCAACACAATTATTTTCTCATTATTTTAAACCTCATGTCATGACACGTAATCATAATGTGGCACGTAATGATGATGGTAGTGTTATGGAAGAGATGAAGGAAATTTATCAATATTCACCCATCCAGGCCGACTATGGGGAGAAGGAAAAAAGAGAAGTTTGTCCCTCGAAGAAATCAAGGCAACCCAAACTTATATTCTACTAAATTGTGTAGAGATTGAGCCGTTTATAAGGTATCATTTTTTAATAATAATAAATATATCCATATATTTTTTAGTCTATATTTAACTTATTTTGTTGCAATGAAGTATGTACATTCAACAGTTGCAAGAAGAATTCCCTAATCTATCTCAGGATCAAATAAATGAGAGTCTTGAAACGTGTTTTGCTATATGGTTCAAGGAATATGTAAGACTATAAAAATTATTATCTCTTAAGTAATTATGTACTTGAATTGGCTTGTTATATTTAACTAAGTCTTATAATATTTTTGAAATAGGTTCGATGCAACCATATTGAGAACCAATTCTTGCGTCGTCTTGCTCATGGACCATTAATAAGCGCAAAATGTTATCCGGTGTATTTTGTTAACTGATACAAATTTCACACAGAATGTCATGGTAGTGCAAGATCAAAAATTACTAGTGGAGTTTGTATCTCAGATCCAAATATTGGTGACTATTATGGATGGATACAAGAGATTATACAATTGGAATACCACGAAGAACCTTTAAAGCAAACTGTGTTATTCAAGTGTGAATGGTTTGATCCAACTGTGAATGTTGGTGTCAAGGAGAATAACCAATACAAATTAGTCGATGTGAACCATCGTTGTAGTTTTAGAAAGTACGAACATTTTATTCTTGCGATGCAAGCAACTCAAGTGTGTTATGTGCCTTATCCTAGCACGAAAAAGGACAATGATGATTGGGTAGTTGTTTTGAAAGTTAAGCCTGGGGATGTTATTGAACTTCCTAAAGAGCCAATAACATCAACTCCAGAACCGAATCTTCCATTCCAAGTTGAAGAAGTTGAAGTCCATTTGATAGATATGAATTTCACCACTGATGAGAATATAATCTTACATGATCCAAATGGGGATGTAATTTAAACGGTTGAACCCATTGATGATGGACTATTGATAGAGAATGAAGAGTTCGAAGGAGAATCTTCAGAAGATGAGTATGAAAATGAGGAGGAGGATGAGGAGGAGTTTGAAGAAGAAATAGATGATGACTAGTGTGTTGATAAAAATGCACTACTATATTTTTATTGAGTTTTATTTTTCTAGTAATTTATGCAGTATGTAATAAGTCATGTATCTATTTTGTAGTATAATCTATAGAGAATCAAATCGAATACCACGTTTGTAGTAATCTAAATGGTATAGTACTCTTCTAGCTTACGTTGTGTTGTGCCTCTTTTTACATTAGTCTGACTCTTTTTTGTAGCAGTAGAATAATGTTTATTATCGACTTAATAGTGTTACCTGATTAAACTATCTAAATTCAGAATTAATTGGAGCCAAGATCGTTGTATTTTGGTCTAAAGAAGTTATCAAATTCCACAATTCAGTGAGTAGTTCAAGCATTGGATAGATCAGGTATCTTTCTGATATTGTCTTTAGCAGAACATATTTTTTTGAAGCTTCATATGCCATATGTTATTTAGATATGCATTGTTTCATATCCTTCTTTTATTTATTTATTTTGTAGATATGCCTCGTGGTAGAGGTCGAGGTAGCGCAGGCCGTGTAGGTAAATCTTCAGTTAGGGGTAATTTTGCTACTCGTGAATATGTCTATTGTTCCCATTCCCACAATCAGTCCTCAACAAGGTGGTACGAGTTCCTCGGGTGGACCAGATCACATCAATCAAGTTCAAATATTTGGACATAGTAGTACGCCACCTATTCAAACATCAGGCCATGGTAGTACCCCAACTATTAATTTGGAACCATCTCCAAATACCCCTAATCAGAGCAACACAATAGGCGAGGGTACATCTTCTCAAAGCAACATAATAGGCGAAACTGGGTGTAGCAATACCCGCAAGCCGCGGACGCTTCTTACTATTTCTCCTATAGGGTTAGTCCATACTTGTACTATTACTTTTAGTATATTTTTATTGATATATGGTATGCCTTTAAACAATGTCTTCTAATTTGTTCAGGTTAGAGCCTTTATTTCAATGCTCTGAGTGTATAACTAAGTGTTTCAAGCATGAACTTGTTCCTAATGGAATCAACTGGAAAAACGTCTCAAATGAGATAAAAAATTATTTTGGAGAATTCAAGGTAAAATCCATCACCATTGGATTTAGAAAGTATATTAA